ATTGCCGTGAATAAGTCCTACGTTTATTGGTTTTGTTTACAAGCTTCAACATCAATAAAATTTCCTGCACATTTACAGCCTGTATCGTAAACTACACTGGAAAAAATACTTTACACACCGTTGTCAGCTCAGTATTATGTTATCCTCTTCATTCAAGTAATATGTAAATTTTCTCGAATGTAAAACGAACGACCTACTCTGAACAGTAACCCAAATATGGCACTGTGTATTCGGTTGAATAGCCAATCATTTCAAATCAAGTTGAGCGGGTCTGCATCGTTTTTTTTGACGAAGTTTGAAATCAGCGGTAATATTTTGATACTTCATCTAGATTTAAGAAGATTCTTGCCTTGACAACTGCTCGAACTCCCGGGTTGGCATGCTCTAAAGGTTTGTTTACGTAGCAATTCTCCCTAAAAAATAAATTGAAGAATTGAAAGATCAAATGTTCATTTTTACTTTCCTTTCTGCATTTAAAAGTTAATATGAAACGAAATTTTATTGCTTGTTTTGAAGAAATTAAAATAATCACATGCACACCCTCCCTCGTCAAAAGTAGAAGCTGTGACCTACCATTTTCTACGGGAGGTAATCCAATATAAAGTTAAAAAAAAACATAACCATTAGGAAGGATAACTCTATCTATAGTCTGTTTCTTTATTTCCATCAAGTACACTGTATATACTTAAGAAATAAGATATCATTTTTAGAGTTGCATTGGGGTATGACATGAAGTCGGTCACGTGATCAAATTCTATAACGCCAATGCAACTCTAAAAAATGATATTTTATTTCTTATATTTATATTTTACGTTTTCATTCATTTTACAAACAAATATAGGCATTATTTAGACTTAGATTTTGAAATGCAACGTAACGTTGCTATGACGTTATGTGACGTCACAGTCGGAACTTTCCAAATTGCACGTGCAGTTTGTTTTCCATACGCAAGAAAGTCTGATCATGTGACCGACTGCATGTCATCGAAAATTGAATTTCATTTTTTTAGTATTGTCATATAAGGAAAGACATTGGCAAATGTAAATATTGACTCTTGAAGGTTGATGTCATAATTCTGTTTCAGAGGTAGTTTGTATTCCCTGATGAGGAAAACTTGTAGAAGTCATTTTATAATAATCCGAAAAATAATAATCCAAGATGAAGATGATGTAGACTTGTGAGTCCAAAAATAGTGTCACTGTGTTATACAATAAATATGCAAGTTGAAGGAGTCAGTTGATGATAATGGGGGAATATTCCATGTTTTCAATCCAGTAGAAAGTGTAATTCCACAGTTTTATCCATCATGAAATAAATGTTAACTGGCAGATATCTTATGTCTATATCCAGAATGAAGTGTATGGTAAATGACTTTAGGTCCATGTTGTTATAATCAAGTATGAATTGAAGTGTAGATTCCATATAGCATTTCATGTATAAATTTGCAAATCCCTTCAACAGAGAGGTAAATTTCACAATTGCAACATATGTAATTATGTACAGGTAAAAATTATATCACATGGGATTCTGATATTTTGTTTGCCTTAAAGAACTTTTAACACTGTACATATCAATTGAACTAAATTTTTTAAATCAAAGCAACTGTTACAAATATTTAAATCAGTATGCTGCATAAAAGCCAGCACTTACTGATTATAACAAAGGGAGAACTTAAAGAGAGTCTATAATAATAAAAATACTAGTTATTTGAGGTAAATGAAAGAGTATCCAAGCTGTTTAAGAATTTTTAAGATTGTGGAAAAGTTATAATTAAGCTTCTAACATTTGTAAATCCTTTCATTTGAGTTGTGAATATAAAAAAATATATTTTCTTGAATTGCATCAGCTTTTAGGGAGAGATACAAACTGTATATTTATGTGGACCTACTTTTGTAGGATATGGTACAAGAAAAAATGTGAGGTTTATGCAAACAATAAGATTCTGTAGTGCAGAAAACCCGCGCTGACTGATTTTGTTCACAACAATATGCCAACACAGTCCAAATTAAGATTCCATTGTTTAGTATGTAAGGTCATTATATTGTACGAAATTCTTAGGATTCCAAGAATAGTTAAGACAAATGAGATTACTTACTATCATAGTAAGTTTAAATGGCAGAAATCAATGTTTTTATCCAATGGTATTTTGAACTCTTAATAATTTCTCATTTATTTTTCCTTTCATCAGTGCTGAATATCAATAAATGATAACTATATATATGCAACATCAAATAAGAAAGAGCTGACTTATATTAATTTCTTAGGAGCTAGGCTTGTTTTTGTGAAGAAGACCGAGATACAAGTAATAATACAAAAGTTAATACAAACAATCAGTTTCAGTATAGTGCGGAAAATCCCGCGCTGACTGATTCTGCTCACAAAAACTTTTGTATAAAAACATTGTAATAAATTGTAATTTACAATAAAAAAAATGCAAATCATAAAAGAAGACATTTGATGTTACATCTGGCAAAAGAAAATTCTTTTTATGCAAATTTTTGAGATTTTAAAATATATAAAAATCCTACTTATTAAAAATTGAAAATTTGTATTTTCCTGTGCAATATATAAATATCTTTAAAGTACAGGCAACTGGCTGAATTAAAAAAGTGAATGATACATATTTTGATAACTATTTTGGATGATTACAAAAATACAGAAAATATTGTTAAGGTTTTATGCCTAAAAATTTGACAGCCCTTACCAAAATATTGACCTTCTGGCAACATCTTCTGGCTTTATTGCCGCAATATTGCAGCAACATTCTGGCAATACATTGCCGCAATATTGCGGCTATATCGTTTTTCGTATGTAAATTAGTTTTGCGGCAATATTGCCAGAAAGGGGTTGCGGCAATATTGCTGCAAATCATGACCAAAATATTTTCTTCTGGCAACATCTTCCGGCATTATTGCCGCAATATTGTGGCAATATTGTTTTTTGTATGTAAGTTAGATATATATATATTGGTATTTAATAGAAATAATATGATCTATCAATCTAACAATTAACAAACTGTGCTGAGGAATATAACAAACAATAGTGAGCCACAGGGTCAATAAGAAATAGCTACTTCTGCTAAAAAATAATGTTGATCATCTGAGAATGAAAATCAAGATAAGTTTGTGAAACACTATGCACTTGGTAGCTATAAAGTTTGAAAAAGCTATTTATAGCATATGAGTCACAGTCAAGGTCACAAGGTCATTGATCTTGGTGTCATTTGAAAGAACTTAATTAGTGGAGTATGCATACTAAGTATGAAGTCTCTATCTCTTATAGTTCAAAATTTATGGCAGAGGATCAAAATGGCTATTTTTAGCATATGAGTCACAGTAAAGGTCAAATTGTCATTGACCTTGGTGTTACTTGAAAGAGTTTAATTAGTGAAGGGTGTATACCAAATATGAATTCTCCATCTTTTATGACTCAAAAGTTATGTCGAAGTTTCAAAAAATCTATTTTAAGTATATGGTCACAGTCAAGGTCCCAAGGTCATTGACCTTGGTGTCATTTGAAAGAACTTAATTAGTGGAGTAGACATACCAAATTTGAAATCTTTATCTCTCATTGGTTCAAAAGTAATGATGAAGGTTAAAGTTTACAAACAGACAGGACAAAAACAATATGTACCCCCGATCTATCAAGACGGGCACATAAAAAATGTTTATAGAAACAATATTAATATGCCACTGTGAAAATGTCCAGCAACTCTGCATTAATTTTCAAAAATATACATGCTTTAATTCATCTTTTCCTGCTACTCTAGGATATATAGACAAACAAGTCTGAGTAGTATGCATGCATCACAAGCACTAATTGAAACACATATAATTTTTCCAATTTTATCTCCATTGAATCATTCATCTCAAAAAGAATATTGGTTTTGACTCACCAAGTCTGATGATATGGAAACAGAGTACACATTCCTATAATTCTGCTTAAATTCTTTTTTCTAGTCATTCCACACTATGCAGTCTTACTACTCATCTTCACTAATCCCACTGTGCACAATTAACAACTCTAATTAACTTAATACAAGTCAGTAATGAAGCAAAACATGCTTGCCTTTGAATTCCCTCCACTTTATTTAAAAAGAGGAAGTAAATGACTGAGCATGCTCAACAAATGGCTCATGGGTAATCCTAGATGTTGCCAGAAAGTTTTTTTCTGGCAGCATTGCCAGAATGTCACCGGAAGTTGTTGCAGCTAGCGGTGATATTTCATTTTTTCTGGCAGTATTGCCAGAATGTCACCAGAAGTTGTTGCCGCTAGCGGTGATATTTCACTAACCCAAAAAGCTTGTTTCTGGTGACAAAAATGTGTTGCTGCAATGTTGCTGCAATATAGCGGCAATATTGCTGCAACAATTTTACTTTGGTAAGGGAGTTTCAAGTGACACAGATTCTCATTTTTATTACTAATTTTTTACCCCCTTGCATTGGAGTTGGAAGGGATATAGTAAGGCCAAGTGTGTTTGTTTGTACTTAATAAATTCTGCAATGGGAGGAAATGAAGAAAGAATGAATGTATGGAAGATAATTAATTTTTTGGTCTAGTATGAACCAATCCTGCATCCGTGGCGGTACCAGGGATTTAAATCCCTGCCGGCACAGCTCCAGACTTTGATGACCAATATAAGAAATTTCATTACAATTAGAGAAGACATTATAATTGTATTATTTCTTGAAAAATTTAGGATGTGGTTTATTTAAAGCACTTCAAAGTAATGTCCTTTTGATATAATGAGGAGTAACTTCACGAAGACTTAAACGTACACACAGGTAATGTTCCTTTGATATAATGAGGAGTAACTTCAGGTAGATTTGATTGTATACACAGGTAAAGGTCCTTTGAAATAATATGTACTAATTGCATGTGCACAGAAAGCAAACACATAATTTAATATTTACATTTGCTGTGTTTTTCTAGTAAGCCAACAGTGAGATTGATTTGAAAACCATTTTCGTGTATAGTCACACGTAGAAATATACACAGAGAAACGTGTGTTAACGTGACGTCACAATGAGGCTGCAGCGACGTTATTAAAAATGCAACGATATAGGGCAGGGAGAAATTAAAATATTAAGGATTTTTTGATTGGTTCCCAACATGTAAAATGTAAATATAAGGAATGCTTTTCAGTTTAGTGTGAATTATTGGTGTGTGAATCACACAGACTTGCACGTAGGCATATTTTTCCTGAAGCGCTAGCGCGCTTCATGAAATATGTCTCCGTGACAAGTCTGTGTGATTCACACATCAATAACTCACACAAAACTTAAAAACATTCCTTAAATAAATAAAACCCCTAATTAAGCAATTACCTTTTCAACATATATGGCACAAACACACTATGTCGATCCAATATGCCTTGGCTAAACAAAAAAAAAAATTTACATCACTGTATACAATCACAAATTATTATATAAAATATGTATTGTAAAAAGTTCCTATATATACTACATGTGATATAGGCCTAATATTGAAATAAACTATAAACAGCTGATTGAAAAGGGAGGTAATTTTGCAGCACAAAATACCACTTCCATATTTCAAAAAAATCTTTACCCAAGAGCGCTTCATTTATATAACTTGTGATTTTTCATATAACTTTTGTAAACATTTCCCCACTTAATAATCCATAGGTTGAGATAGGTTAAGTAGAGAAACATATGTAAATAATATTTTCTTGAGCCCAACATGTTAGACGTCTTTAGAAAAAAATAATTTACATTTAATTTAATGAACTGTACTGTAAAAACATAATAGAGTAATCACACTATATACCTGAAGAAATTAAACTTTACTTATAAAGACAATGCCACTTACCAGATAATATCCTATCATAGGAAACAAGAACACCGTAGTGGTGTGTGTCTGTAAATGCACGGGTAAACACAGGACCAGCACTTCCGCTGATTTCCAGTTATCGTTCGTTAACTTCCCCTAGCGGACAGCAGAAATGCTAGTTTACGATTTCCAGCCGTTTTCACTTTCACTTTCAGATCAGTACATTGTGCATGTTGTTAATGAATGAAACTAATCAAATTCACGCAAAACGACGCTTTCTATGTTATTTAATACTGCCAGGATATTAGATAAGTATTTTTGACAATTTTGGGATTAAATGTTTATGTGCGTCACTTAATATTCTGTAAAGGTGTATGAATTAAACAAGACAAAGAAAAACATATTCTGGAGTGGGACTAAAATGAGTAGTAAAAACCAAGTCATGCCGGGAATTTGAAACTTAAAACCGGATTTTTGCTTATTACAGAGAATTTACACTTTCAAATGTCATAAAACTTAGAGTTGGCTGAGAGTTTCAACTCCAAATTTGACAAATAAGTTTGTTTAATTTTGTATTTTAAACTGTGTCCATTTTCTTTAAACACAGGTATAGTGAATTCAGTATGCAGATTGTTGAAGGGAAAACATCAAGACAGGGCGAGGAAGACGACAAAACATGATTACCCAGATTTAGGATCCCAGTGTTCTTTGGTACAAGCACATTTTTATAATAAATTTCATGAAATCTGTTACTTGAACAAACGTTTACATTATTTAGTGCCTGACTTGCTCGGGAGTCAATATCATCATATATTTGTAAAAAAGAAAATGTTCAATTTCCTTTGTTTAGTCTCAAGCTACTCAGCCTACCATGAGAAAATTAAAAGATCTGTCATGAAGAAGAGGCGGGTTCTCAACTTTCATATTATAAATGGCTAATTCATAGCTATTATTTGTGATTGCATTGTGTATTAATTTTCAAAATCAATTCATTCTTTGGTGACCATGTGCAGCGGTTTGTTTCAGACTCATAATTTTTTATAAAAATATTGACTATATTAATTTGTCCATATGCAGAAAATGTTAATCACTGTATGAATTCTATTTCAGCATGATTGTCATCTTCAATTTGAGGGACTCTCACCTAAAGTCCTTTACTGTTCCATATCAGGAAAAAGTTCATGAGCTGAGACATGCGATTGGAGAAAAAGGTACATATATCCTAAACCATAGCTTTAGTATCATTCTGTATACATGTACAGCTAAACTAAATATGTAGCACTATATTGTTCTCTTTGTAAACTGACAACAGAGTAGCCAGGAAACCTATGATTTACCAATATTTCAGGGATTTATTCTTTGTTTTTGTATAGTACCCTTAAAAAAAAATACATAGTTCTCAAATTGTAATGTATAGGCTTTTTGTGATAAGGGATACATGACCTAACCATTGATTCTTCATATGAAATGTCAATAACAAGAGTTCCACTCATTAAATTCATAAATTTGCATTTTTTGCTTTTTGAGGTTAAAGGTCATTTTTAGAACTTTTTATTTATAAATTAGGTTGTTTCTTGTTTTTATTTTTATAAATCATGGTTACGGTATTGTGAATTCTGATAACACAAACGCCTTTGATAATATTCATACTTATGTGTGGCACTGAAAAAATACTTATAGATTTTTTTTTTCTTTTAGGAAAAGCATTAGGAAAATGCCTGCTTGGAGAAAAAAGTTTTGGACTCTGAAAAGGGAGGTGTGACAAAAACATTTTGACAGTTGTTGATTTCCACTAAAAACAATATCCACAAGAAAGAGGACATAGTTTTATGTTGATTCACAACTTTAATTCAAGAATGTACAGTTGGTTTTATTATTAAACATGTCAGTGACACATACAAAACAAACATATTCGTGAAATGTACTCTGTCTTTGATATGTATGTAATTTGCAGGATAGGATGTGGGCAACATATACTGCCAAGAATCTTGATGATTTTGATCTTATGTTTGTAAAAAGAAATGTTTTGTATTGTAATAAACAAAGTTAAAGTCAGCTTTTTTATTTAATTTGTATATTAATTATGATGTTTACATTTCTGCAACTTATCAATTTGGAAGAAAAAACTTTATATTTATAATTTGAATAAGGCTTCATTCACTGGAATGGAAAACAGAGCTTATTAACTTTTGTGGTTATTAAAGATGGTATTTAATTAAATTTAAGGTTAGTAAATATCAGATTGTGGTTATTAAAGATGGCATTTAATTAAATTTAAGATCTGTAATTATCAGATTTAATATATCCTAAATACTGTGTTTAATGGTTGTAAATATTAACTTTACTTTTTTGTAAAGTCAAGATAAAGTGGGACATTACATCATATTTAAGTGCATGTAAAGTTAATGTAAAGGTTACCTTTTCCAACTTTGACTTTTTTCAGAAAAGCCAATTAAAGGCATTGTAAATAATAAATTTACATTATCTTTACTTGTTTTGTAAAGCCAAATTTTCACGCAGTGTTCTTTTCCGAAGCTTTAATTCTCGCTCTTTATTTTCATCAAGAATTTGATCTAATTCTCTTTCCCGTAATTGTCGTTGTCGTTGTAGTTGTTGTTGTCGTTGTTGTTCTAATTGAGCTCTTCTCTGTAATATTTTAGCATTTTTTTCCCGGAGCTTTAACTCTTGCTCTCTTTTCTCATAAAGAATTCGTTCTAATTCTCTTTCCCTTTTTTTCCATTCTAATAATCGCTGAGCATGTAACTGTTTTTCTCTAGTAGAATCCATGACCCCCCCAGGCAGGGAGCTGGATCTGACAGTAGAATGAGCCGAAAGTCGGAGAAAACCTGTATTTATACAGTGGATGACGTCACAATGCATAGGTAAGCACATTTTTTTGCACACGGCCCTAAACAAACTTGAATCGTTGCCAAAATCGTAGTAGCAGCGTTATGAATCGTAGTAGCAGCGTAGTGTATCATGTAAACATAGTGTAAACACACCCCTATATTTAGGGGGCTATATGTACTGAATTGACCCGGCTATCCCCCACAGGGGCTGTACTCTCTTGACCCACCTATCCCCCACAGGGGCTGCACTCGCTTGACCCGGCTATCCCCCAGGGGCTGCACTCGCTTGACCCGGCTATCCCCCCAGGGGCTGCACTCAGTTGACCCGGCTATCCCCCCAGCCCCAAAAAGTGCACTCAGTTGACCCGGCCATCTAGGCCGCTTATACTACTCACCTGGCCTGCGGCATCAGTCATCTTAGTTAATATAATTCTCGAGAACTGTCTCTTGGTTGAAGTCTTCTTCCCTCTCTCTAGTTCCATGGGTGTAAGGGCATCCCCTCCTCCCTGGTCCTGTACTGGTACATGTACTTGGGGTTCTCATATTTTTATTGATACTGTTGAATCCATCACCCGCGCTTGGAGGTTTCGCAGTGTCCGCAGCTGCTATTTCATCATTCCATTCCCCATCTTCAATCTCATACACAGGCTTATAGCCTGGTTTTGTCTCCTTTTGCAGTTCTATTTCCCCAATCCGCAAGCACTCGGTCTGTCCAAAATCTCACAGGGACTCACCAGGTCGACTTTTCCTTAATTTGACATGTGCAATATATCTTTCTTTCGTTGCTCATAGTATTTCTGTACAGTAAGGGGCAATTCATGGGCATAACTCTCGGCCTGTCCTCGCAAGGTGCTAAATAGAACTCTGCTAGATTTCTCGGGTCCACATAAGTTTAATTCTGAGATGTTTTCGAAATATTGTAGAAACTCGTCCCAAACATCATCACTGGCCCCTGAGAAGGTCCTCCTTACTGGGTATTCGTTGGTTCGTTGACCAGCATTTAGTGTCATAGGTCTATTTGAAGATGTCCCTCCAGCCATAGGAAATTCTAAATTGTACTCAAGTCCCTGAGGAGACTGATTACCCAAATAAGGAGTAGGGCGTCCAGATTGCCCAAAAACTTCAGGTTCTTCACACGTACCTGTAGGGGCGTTAGGTACACTGCCACTAGTATGGGGTGTAACATTGGATATCAAAGAAATTTTCCTTTCCTTACTGGCATTCACCAGACTGGATCTATACTTCCATAATACTCTGATTACCGTAACAAGGAATATCATACCTGTTATCGATATTAGAGAAATTACTTGAGATTTCTGCACGATCTTGTTTTCTGGAAAATAGATTCAGGTCATCATTCAGAGAAAATTCTATCAAAGCAAAGAGTACCCAAATAAATAGGATTCTCTTTAAGCTTGGCCTTGGATTTTACTCGTTTTGAACAGAACGGGCCTGCGAGCTTTGCCCGAACTCCTGAAAGTTAGGATTTTCTGACACTACTCGACTTGTGGGCTGCAAACCTGTTCTACGCCCTGTATCGACCCCTTTTCCAGAGTCATTCTAAGGAGCTGGACTGTCAAAGTACTGTCCTGTCTTGCTAAGTGTAATTCTCTTATGTACAACGGGTATTTCCTTTTCAAACTCTGTGCTTTCTCCTTCCTGTGTAACACATAAAATACTTTCTTTAGATCCCATCGCTGCCACAAATTGTAATATTTTTTTCTCTATGGGGTGTTTGTTTTTACCTGCGTCACAAAATATTGTGGATTGTTTAAGATAGGATTTTAAAGTTTGGGACCAATCGCCCAAATGGGACATAATAGTGCGTTTGGAATATTATATCCCAGATGGGCTATGAATTTACAGTGCAAAAAAATATTTTGGCTATAAATATCATAATTCCACATCAGGACACTTTAAAAGGAATAACCTTTGGTTGATAAGTTTTCCTGTATGCCCATTGTTTAGGAGATTGGTCCCTCGGAAGTTCCATAACCTCGGGAATAAATCTTCCAAACTGTAGGGTTGCAGAAAACTTTGCTTACCAAAAATTATTCATACTTGGATATTTTACTTGAAAAAGACACTAATGGTAATCTAACAACCAAGCTATATGATAAACGTGATGACTTTAACTTTTGTATCGTCAACTTCCCTTACTTATGCAGCAATATACCTTCATCACCTGCATACGGAGTATTTATATCTCAGCTGATTCGATACGCAAGAGCATGCTCTACGCATGAACAATTTCTTAAACGAGGTAAATTATTGACAAGCATGTTCCGTCATTCGTACGAATTGTTTCATGTACGAGCTGTCAAATAAGTCTTAGAAGCCATGCGGTAGCATTTCTGCTGTCCGCTAGGGGAAGTTAACGAACGATAACTGGAAATCAGCGGAAGTGCTGGTCCTGTGTTTACCCGTGCATTTACAGACACACACCACTACGGTGTTCTTGTTTCCTATGATAGGATATTATCTGGTAGGTGACATTGTCTTTATAAGTAAAATTTAATTTCTTCAGGTATATGGTGTGACTACTCTATTATGTTTTTACAGTACAGTTCATTAAATTAAATGTAAATTATTTTTTTTCTAAAGACGTCTAACATGTTGGGCTCAAGAAAATATTATTTACATATGTTTTTCTACTTAACCTATCTCAACCTATGGATTTTTAAGTGGGGAAATGTTTACAAAAGTTATATGAAAAATAACAAGTTATATAAATGAAGCGCTCTTGGGTAACGATTTTTTTGAAATATAGAAGTGGTATTTTGTGCTGCAAAATTACCTCCCTTTCCAATCAGCTGTTTATTGTTTATTTCAATATTAGGCCTATATCACATGAAGTATATATAGGAACTTTTTACAATACATATTCTATGTAATAATTTGTGATTGTTTTCAGACTAGACCAACCAATTAATTATCTTCCATACATTAATTCTTTCTTCATTTCCTCCCATTGCAGAATTTATTAATTCATTGACAAGTACAACAAACACACTTGGCCTTACTATACCCCTTCCAACTCCAATGCAAGGGGGTAAAAAATTAGTAATAAAAATGAGAATTTGTGTCAATTGAAACTATGTCAAATTTTTAGGTATAAAACCTTAACAATATTTTCTGTATTTTTGTAATCGTCCAAAATATATAGTTATCAAAATGTGTATCATTCACTTTTTTAATTCAGCCAGTTGCCTGTACTTTAAAGATATTAATATTGCACAGGAAAATACAA